TTAAACAATGGAAACGGCTGACCAGTAGTTAGATTACTCCAATCTCGGTGGATGGCAAGCACTGCTGGGCTATATGAGTGGCATTCAACTACTCATGTGAAATAATCAGTAATACATAGTTTTATGAATCTCATCAATCCTTTAAAATCTCCTCTAATCTTGAGAAAACGTCTAAAGGCATTAACAAATGAAATTCGAAGAGACTTCAAATAACACGAGCACATAAAAGCTTCGATATGATAGAGAAGATTTGTAGCTTAGGTGTCAACCAAAAGACTCAACAGCAAAGGAAGATAAAACCAACATCATCTACAAAATAGATTGCATCAACTGCGAAAAACACTACATTGGCCAAAGTGGACGTCCCCTTCGTCTTCGTATCCACGAACATAAGCTAGCTGTCAAAAGACATGATATCCACTCCCTCATATCACTACATACAGACAACCATGGACATTAATTCGACTGGGACAACCTTCAAATATTAGACAGAAGAAACAACAAGAATGCTAGAGAATTTTTAGAAGCTTGGCATTCCAGTGAATCATCAATCAATAGAGACATCGAGATAGACAAAATTTATCAACCGATAAGAAAGAAACGTCACACACAAAGGGTTAAAGTTCAAGTCAAAGAAACAATGAATGACAATACAAGTAACCTAGATGATGTGAAAACACACAAAAACAACCAATCACGTCCAAGGTCGCCAGGAGAGATGATTAATAAACTCGTGGAGAAATCTAAAAGCTCACTTCAAATTGAAGTATGCGCTGAAGATGTCACCTAGTAGGGTGATGAAATTAACTATCCAGCTCAGAGAACACAACCACATCAAAAACATAAAAACTTCATTATCCACAGATAAAATCGTTCTCACTAAAACTTGATTTTCACATGAATTTATTAATCAAAAACTAAAACAATCTGATCCAAAGGATAAATTTATTCCCTCCTTTCACTCAGTTTTATAATCATACCTGCTGTGATTTTATTTCAGAAACATGTTTTTGTTATAAACAATAGCTAAAAGAATAATTCCGTTTTAATTCTGCTTTATGTTATAAAGTAAGTCGGTATGTTCATTTTTCCGTGCATCAGTAGTTCAGTGGTGAAATGCTTGCCAGCCGCACACATGGTGTTGAGTCTTATTTCCGGTTGACGCACTCTTAAACATCACCTAGTTTATTACTGGCCATTAACAAGCTTAGAGAAGAGGGAAGGTTTGGTTTGAGGCTTGCAGCCTTATCCTATAAGAAAGTACAACACCATCACTGTGGCGGTATGATACAGATAATGTGTGCCAACGGAGTATTATTCTCACATATTTCTACCGTTGAACTCAGTATCAGCGACAGAATACAGTGATCCACAATGGAAAACTCAGCGAGGCGTTTGGAGTAAACACAGGAGTCAGAAAAGGGTGCTTATTATCACCAATGATATTCCTAATTGTGGTGGACTGGATTATGCGTCAGACAGTGCACAGAAACGAGAAGACAGAGATATCCTGGACCCACGTGAAAAACCTAGAAGACCTGAATTTCGCCGATTATTTGTGCTTGATGTCACACAAGATCGAAGACTTACAAGCAAAAACCGACAAACTGGTCGTAAAAGCAGCAAAGACAGGACTCCACGTGAACATAGAAAAGACGGAGGTTATGAAAATAACCAACCAACAACAACAACAACAGCAGCAACATCCAGCGCCAATCACCATCAACGGGAGGGATTTGAAAGAGGTTACTTCATTCACTTATCTAGGGAGCATTGTCTCAACTACAGCAGGAACGGACGAGGATGTCAAATTGAGAATCGGGAAGGCGAGAAACACATTCATCAACCTGAAACCAATCTGGAAATCTTCGTCACTCAACTCAGCATCAACCACGAAATTCGGATTTTCAATACAAACGTCAAGTCAGTCAGTTCTTCTATACGGATGGATCAGAAACTTGGCGAGTCACAAAGAACATTTCCAACAGGTTGCAGACTTTTAACAACAACTGTCTTCGTTCTATACTGAAGATCAGATGGCCGCCGAAAGAATCACCAACAAGAAACTATGGGAACAAACAAAACAAGAACCAATCGCTCAACAAATATGCAGGAGAAAGTAGAGATGGATTGGTCACTCACTGGCTGAGGAGGCCGTTGGGTGACATCGCACGTCAGGCCAGTGCTCCAGTGGAACCCGAAAGGGAAGCGGCGAGTGGGACGTTCGAGGGTGACATGGAGGAGATCGTGTGAAGAGGAGTTGAAACAGTATGGACTAACATGGATGCAAGTGAAAAGTACAGGAGAAGACAGAAACAAGTGGAGACGTGCAGTTGAAGCCCTATGTTCCACTAGGAACCCAAGGGAATAATAATAATAACAGAATACAGCATATCTGTTTGGACATTCTATTTCACGTCGTTTGATGTAAACCGAAATCACACACTCAGTGATTGGTTAAAGAATTTAAACTGTACACATATAAACAGTGGTTCGATCAATTGAAAATATACCTTGGCTTCCGTGTCTTGCCTTCTGTTGTTACACCACTACTAAAACTGTAAACTTTGCAGTGATATGTTCCACTTGGAATTCAAAAGAATTAAAATTTTCATTCTGAATGAATGAATGAATACACTGAAAATATTTGTTTAAATTTATTCAAAAATTTTTTTATATCAATCCAATAAGATTTTTTATGACTTTGCGTAAATTAAAAAAGGAAGCAGAATTTATTCAAAACGCTAAAAGTCATATTAAGCTTTCTTAAAAATAATCCCTTAATGCTATTCTCAGTTAAGAATTTTGTTAAAAACACTAAACAGTTAAGGTGACATTAGAGTCTTTTTTGACAAATTCTACTTTCATGGAGGATTTCATCATGAGCTGACATCAGTTAGAGAACCACTGGAAAACCTGGGAGTACTGGATAGCTGTGTCGTCCTAGTTTGGACTCTTCAGCAGTACGCGCCCACCGGGATTCCAACCTAAGGACCATTGGATCGGGTCCCAGTGGCTCAATGGTATACGAGCTCGCCTTGTAACCAGAAGGTCCTGGGTTCGAATCCCGGTGGGCGCGTACTGCTGAAGAGTCCCAAACTAGGACGACACAGCTATCCAGTACTCCCAGGTTTTCCAGTGGTTCTCTAACTGATGTCAGCTCATGATGAAATCCTCCATGCAATTAAACAAAATCCCTACCAAACCAATACTTGAAAATTCTACTTTGACTAGTTGTTAGTTAATGCTGCTGAGATTTTGAAATAAATGATTGAAGTATGTTGAAGAAAGTCAAACATCTGAAGTAAACAATTTCTTAGGTTTGTAGGGATTCTATCTTAAAGTTGAATTTTTCCTGGGGGATCCGTATTTAATTTTGTTGCATTTCAAAAGGATAATCATATAACAGAATGAGTTACTACCGGAAGACTTCACCAAATATGGGGAATGTAGACTGTTTGTCATTTATGATATTAGATTCAGTGGATGTTACCATTACCAAAGCTAATGAAAATATAAAAGAAATAGACAGACGGAAGAGGTTATTTCTGATGAATTCATTTTCATTTTCAATCACTACTTGACTTTAGTTATGTAACCATTGAAAGTCAGGTAGTGTTTGACAACTACTTCGCTCCAGTTTGGGACTCCTCAGCAGTACGCACCATCGACACTACCTAGAATCGAATCCAGGACCGTTAGGTTACAAGGAAATCTCGTTGACAGTTCAGCCACTGAAGGCCAAAATCCAATGGCCTATCAATTCTAACTTCTGTCCATTCGTGATGAATAGCACGACCACCAGCGAATGTCATCAGTGAGTGCTTGTCCACACACTTACCTGGTAGAACGCACTGGTCACTACTTCTCACTAAAACTCCAGGCGTGAACTTAGTGTCAAAGGACAAATAACTAAAATAGGGTACCACCAAAATAAGAAATACATATATATCAACACAACAACAGATCTTTATTTAATAGATTTTTGTATTTACCGTCAACTGATTATATTAGTCTGTCTGTTGTCTGTTTTTGACATAGAACTTTGCACATATGTGCGGCAGTTCAAGTCGCCACACTCCCTCCATGTACCACACAAAGCAAGAGAAGAAAGTAGAAGAAATGCATATTAGAGACAGTTAACAGAGGTGTGAGACAAAGGAATAGTAATAACGAAGAACAAAACAGTTTCATTGGAAATCATGAGTCACAAGGAGTGGATGCATCTGCACTAGCCATTGAGAACGATTTTGAGCCATGTCACCAATTGTTTCCAACCATTGGCTTTTACCGTCCCGAGGACCCCAACCAGTCAGGAAGTCTACATCTTCCTACGTGGCTTAGACTAACTGTTGTAGATTTCATTGACTGGTGCCATGTTTTGGTTTGACCACCGCTAGCTCTTTTCCAGCCTGACCCTATATCAGCTAACATTTCCCGTCGAGGAAGTCGATGACTAGGCATACGTAACACATGTCCTAACCATCTCAGCCGATGTAATTTCACAGTCTCGTCTATTGATTTCCCCTCCTTACCTAGCACTCGACGTCTAACCTCAATATTGCTCACCTTATTATACCAATTCACGTGGGAGATAGAACGCAGACACCTATGATCAAAGACAAGTAACCGGCCTTTTCATATCTTCCACTCTCAATGGCCATGTCTCACAGCCATAAAGGAGGATAGCCGAAAATGTTCGGTCTCTGTTAGCATTGACAATAGAAAATAACTGATATCCATTGCAAACGATGCGGCTCTAGTCGTCCAAATGATCCAGTGCATAATACTCTGGCATCTGAAGCGACGGTTACTGGGTTTGAGTCTATCTAGGAACACCATCACTCAATGAGGATTGCAGATATACCCAGCTAACGAGTCTCAAAGAAGGATTAATTCCTCATCCTGGATTCCACTGATACTCACCATCCACCAAATAACAACGTTAGATCATCATTACACCATTCACATCATAAAAACTTAAAAGCCAATTTTTGACCTTAGAATGATGCTTGTATACATTTTACTTTTTTCTCAAAGAAAACCCTAGCTAATAAGTAACTTACTTCTTCTGAAGTTCCTGGACATGCAAGTGGCATTCTTCGATGTGAATATGTCCATCCATTTAATTCAGTAGATGATGGTGATGATTCAGTTATATGAGCGAGTAAATCTTCTGAAGTAGTACCATTTAAACAATATCTTCTTCTCCAACGATAACGTGTTACACCACAGTCTTCTGGAAAACATGGTGAAGGCAATGTCCATGTTGACCAAATCCCTACTGGATATTCACAGTTTAGACCTAATAGTTAAATAAAAGTAATTCAAGGTAATAAATCATATATACATTTTCAAAAACTCAAATAGACTGTTTACCAAATTATGCTGAATAAAGGAAAAACAAAAGTGTGTACAGAATGAGGTGGTGCCATCATTTATTTCGTGGACTTCTCATCATCTGAGTACAGCCTAAAGAAATTATTAAGCCTATGGATAGAATAACTTCAACATACTTGCAAATGTTACATGGTTTCAGTTGATAGGAGACTCCAAATTTGAATTACATTTATATAGGTTGTACACAGAAAGTTCAAGTTTAAACACTGGCAAAGGAGTTGTGTAATAAAAACAAGAAATAAATATGATGATGAGAAACTAAATAAGGTAAGTAACAATGTGATGAGTCCAATTCAAGGTATAGAAACAAGAGATAAGCTAATTAACTTTACAAAGAAGGCGTAGAAGTTAGAAACAAAGATCACGTAAACAAATGAAATGGAGAATGATGACATCCAGTTAGTTACCAGAGCTAAGAAAGACTGACAACTGCTTCTCCCTGAATACATACATTGGGCTTAAGACATTTGAGAGCATTTGTTTCAGCGAAATTGAGTAGAAGTAAACTGACAATTCTAAAGGCTTTCATAGTGTCCACCTCATGATCTATGTCGACTAGGTGCCTGGCAATGTTACAAAGTTTATAGTCTCCTGTCAACTGACGCCATGTAACATTTACATGTATGTTAAATTTGTTCTGCATATAAATTCACTAATTTCTTCAGACTGTATGGAGCTGATGAGAGTTGGATGAAATGAATGATGGCACCATCTATTTCAGTACAATCTATTATTTCTATTTTATTCAAATTAGTAATGGGGGAATAACTGTACAAAGTGTGCTGAATTACCTCAGTTTATCAAACTGATACAAAAGAAGTCAGTCTTCTAAAATTTTCTTTAAAGAAATAAAGACCAGACTGAAGCGTAAAATGATATCATCACTCTATTTCACAGGTTCTCATCAGCTGCAAACCACCTGAAATTATGATGGTTATAAATAATGACAATAACATACTTCAAAGCTTGAATAGTAGTAAAGAAAAAATTATTATAAAATCAACGCATGCGAAATATAAGCATTAAAATTTTATGGGTTTAAATTACCGTCAATTTATATGCTTTCAAAATAGAAAAGGAAGTGGGAGGAAGGGGTAGAAGATAGAAAACAGAAAAATCTAATAAACATTGTTAGTATGTAGGTTTACATAGCAACTCAAGAAGGTTATAGTGTAATTACAGAAGACAAAGACCAGGCAACAGGTCGTTTATTGAGTAAATCAAGAGGTATTTATAGATTTTTGCAATCGTATATACGTGACCCCGTCTCACAGTGACCATGTGTGGTCCTTCCCACTTTGGAAGCAGTTTGTGTGACCCTGGCGCTCATATGTGGGTGTTTCGCCTCACACTTTCATATGCTGCCTTCGCCTGACCTCCCAGCGGCGTTCCAAGGAACAGCCCCATTGCTGACGGATCTTGAACGCCACTCAGCTGCGCAAAAGCATCGAAGTCTTTCCAGAAGATCCATATGTCTCCATCAAAAATTGTAGGGCATAGGCTTTCCATCTGTTGGCAGGCAGCGACACCAAATGTAACGACAGAAGACAAGAGCCAGGCAACAGATAGTTTATTGAGAAAGTCAAAAGGTATTTATAGATTTTTATGTGCATTATTATTAGCGTTATTGTTAGCGGAAAAGCAACGTCTTCTGACTGCCTGTTTTCTTGCTGAAATTTATTCTGTTATCTCTCTGTGGCCGTTTCTCAGAAAATCAAGTCATATATCTGTGAATCATATTTCCACACTTTAACGCCGTTGTGATTGGCTGGTGACTTCCTCAAGGTTAAGCTTTGTTATTGTTTGTTTCTCATGACCCCGATTCGGGACGTGAACATTGACGTAAATTGTTGCCTACAATTTTGGCTTGCAGACAGCTCTCACCACAATAATTCATAAAACTGAAAACTTGCTCAGTGAGTTGAAATCACTCATATGGTTGACTAATCAGTGTAATCAAAATATAGTTATCAAGGTAGTGAGTGAGAGATTGATTACACTCTCTTTCTATATGCATAAGTTTGGTTTGAAGGGTTTGATTGCAATTGCTTCAGCAAACCTTAGTAAATTTGCTGTTCTTTGTGTGCTTAGTATTTTGAAAGATTGTATGTTATTGTCATTCTTTTTTATAACCATTGTTATTCCAGGTAGTGGTCTGCAGCTGATGAGAACCTGTGAAATAGAATGATGATATCATTTCATACTGAAAACCTTGTCTTTCAAAATAATAGAGAAGATATGTAGCTCAGGTGGATGATTTGCAATTAATAGCGCTCTCTGACCTGGTTCGTTTAGTTGCGAAGCTTTCGTCGCAATTACATCACTCATGAAGAAATTTAAATCATTTCACTCTGTGCTAAATATGGCACTGAAGATGTTGTCCAGAAGGACGACGAAAGCTTCGCAACTAAACCAACCAGCTCAGAGAACACTGTTAATTGCAAATCTTGTCTTTCCTTCTTTATTGAAATTTATGAAGAGAACTAAATGTATGAAATAATTTTCTAGCATGTGCGTCGGTGGCAGAGCGGTTAGGACGCTTGCCAACCATGCACATGGTCCGGAGTTCGAACCCCGGCCGACACACTCCTTTACCTCGCTAAGCCAGTAATAAAACTGGTAAAGAGGGAAGGTTGGGTGAATATGAGGCTAGCAACCCCATCCTGTAAAAATAATCACCATTGATAATGAAACTTCAAAGTATTCTAGCTTGAAGCCCTATGTTCCACTAGAAACGCGAAGGAATTAATAGTAATAATTCTCTAGTATAAAAACGGTTACATTATTATTATTATTGTTTCCTTTAATTCCGAGGGGAACATAGGGATTCAGCCAAACGTCTCCATTGCCTTCGCTTCTCTGCTAACGTTTCCACCCGGCTCCAAGTCTGCCCACACGTTTTCATCTCCTCTTCATATGACCTCCTCCATGTCACCCTTGCACTGACGACCAACTCGCCGATTCCCATTCAGTCGGGTTCCACTCGAGCAATGGCTTGTCTAGTGATGTCACTTGATGGTTGGTTTCCTCAGAGTATGACCAGCCAATCCATCTCCATTTCTTCCTGCCTATTTGTTTCACAATCGGTTCCTGCTGGATTGGTTCGCTCATTGCCAGAGATCTCTGTTGCTGATCTTTTCTCACCGGCCATCTGATCTTGAGTGTTATTGAGCTAAGACAACTGTTAATGAAGGTCTGTAGTTTGTTTGAGATGCTCTTTATGATGCACCAAGTCTCTGATCCGTATAGTGAGTAGCACCGACTTCACATTGGAGTTTAAAATCCGGATCTTATTTTTGATGCTGAGTGTTGTTGACCTCCACACAGACTTGAGAGTAGTGAAAGCTTGTCTCGCTTTTCCGATTCTTGCTTTGATATCCTCGTCAGTTCCGTTGGCCTGTAGTTGAAACGATGCTTCCCAGTTCGGTAGGAAAAGAGGTTGTTTCTTTCAGGTTTTTTCCCATTTATGCTGATTGTTGTCAGTTGTTGTTGTTGTCCAGGAATCTTCATCACCTCTGTTTTCTCTATGTTCACCTTAAGGCCTGTCTTCTCTGGATGCTTCTTCTGCTAATTTGTTGCTTTTCGCTTGCATATCTTCCAGTTTGTGGGAAATCAGACATATGTCATCGGTGAAGTCCAGATCCTCCAAGTTTTTCGTAAGGGTCCTTTTTATGCCTATTTCCTCATTGCCCGCTGTTTGTCGCACTATCCAGTCTACTGCAATCAGGAAAATCATTGGCGATAGTAGGTTAGATAATATCAGCGAATACCAGTGGTCATGTAATCATCCTTTATTGGATTGATAACTACAGGGAACCTGTCTTTATTGACTGTAGCGGAACTGAAACCTTATACAGTAACTTCGTTGAATGAACTTCCCGCCAGCTACTGATAGACTGATGATATAAATCATGTCACTAAAATCCTGGTTTATGTTATATATTTTCAGCTTCTACCTTGATCCATAGGTTCGTCAATAAAAAAATCATGAAGTCTATTGTGTTGATTTTTAAATACTCAGATGTCTACTGTTGGAAAATAAAACCGCTTTCGTCATTCTTCTCTGTCTCTTCTTAAATAAAATAGCTTCAGCACAGATTTCATCTAAAGCTGTATCAAATTCTTTAAAGAAAGCTTGCTACTGTAGGCTAAATCAGTTGACTTGTTGATAAATTTCCACAACCAACTGTCAAATAATTAATGAAGTCCACTTCTAGGAAGACATTTTCCATAAATTGAAGAGTTAAACGTGATCAAAAAACTCATGTGTACTGAAAAGTGACTTATTATGCGTTTGAATTTTAATATATCTCATTCATTGTAGACAGACTCCAACATTGGAAAAAGTAAACATTAGATTCCAATGTACAATCTAATATTTAATATCTTTTTGACAAGCTTCTAAAGGCATTAGGATTTCTCAGTGTTCGCTTCCTGTTGTTTACCAGTGATTCTTAATCTTTGTTTAACTTCATTATAGCCTATTTCTCTGTTGACTGCTGCAACTCTACTGGAAGTAATAGCAGAAGGTACATTATTTTATTTACTACAGCTATAGTGCATTTCTAACAGAATTTAGACTTTTATCGCTCTCTATTGAAGACTAAATGTTCAGAAAGGATAAGCAACAAAGAATTTTGGCAGCAAACCAACCAAGAGCCTATTTCTCAACAAATACGTTGAAGAAAATGCAAATGGACTGGGCACACTCTGAAGAGATTGTTGAGAGACATTTCGCGCCAGGACCTCAAGTGAAACTCAAATGGGAAAAGAAGCATTGAGTGTTGGTTCAAGGATGATATGCAGGAGTTTATGTGAGGAAGAGATAATTCTGTATGAACAGTCGTGGAGCTAGCTAAAAATGGCTTCTGAAGACAGGATGAAAGGAAGATAAGATGCTGAAGCCTTCTTATGTTCCACTCCGAACCTATGGAAATAATTATAATATGTGGCTTGACGGCAACCTACAGATTTTGTTTCACTAAGTAATCCATCAGTTATGTATTAACCTCAATTATGACAGTTGTAAAACTCTTAAACTTACTTCCAGTGCACTTCATTATCTGGTTTATTTATTGTCGAAACTTGATAAAAGTGTCATTGATTTTCTTAACATTTTGACAGAATATGAATAAAAGATTATCTCTATCAAGATTAACTAATTTACAATGTTATCAGTGAACTGTTCACTCAAGTTAACTGGATCATATGTGCATACATCTGCATCAAAGCTGTGAATACTGATATGTATCAAGTTTATTAATAAAACATTGAAAGTTTAATTAAAGATTAATGTCATTTAGAGAAGCGTTTGTTTGAAGTCCTGGTGATACGAACTATGGGACTGATCCCTAGAAGTACGAAACAGGCACACAAAAACTTGGAGGATCTGGACTTCGCCGATGATATATGTCTGATTTCCCACAAACTGGTAGATATGCAAATGAAAAGCAAAAAGTTGGCAGAAGAAGCATCCAGAGAAGTATAGGCATTCAGGTGAACACAGAGAAAACAGATGTGGTGATGAAGATTCCTGGTCAACACCACCAACAGCAGCAACAACAACAACTGACAACAATCAGCATAAATGGGAAAAAACCTGAAAGAAACAACCTCTTTTCCTACCGAACTGGGAAGCATCGTTTCAACTACAGGCCAACGGAACTGACGAGGATATCAAAGCAAGAATCGGAAAAGCGAGACAAGCTTTCACTACTCTCAAGTCTGTGTGGAGGTCAACAACACTCAGCATCAAAAATAAGATCCGGATTTTAAACTCCAATGTGAAGTCGGTGCTACTCACTATACGGATCAGAGACTTGGTGCATCATAAAGAGCATCTCAAACAAACTACAGACCTTCATTAACAGTTGTCTTAGCTCAATAACACTCAAGATCAGATGGCCGGTGAGAAAAGATCAGCAACAGAGATCTCTGGCAATGAGCGAACCAATCCAGCAGGAACCGATTGTGAAACAAATAGGCAGGAAGAAATGGAGATGGATTGGCTGGTCATACTCTGAGGAAACCAACCATCAAGTGACATCACTAGACAAGCCATTGCTCGAGTGGAACCCGACTGAATGGGAATCGGCGAGTTGGTCGTCAGTGCAAGGGTGACATGGAGGAGGTCATATGAAGAGGAGATGAAAACGTGTGGGCAGACTTGGAGCCGGGTGGAAACGTTAGCAGAGAAGCGAAGGCAATGGAGACGTTTGGCTGAATCCCTATGTTCCCCTCGGAATTAAAGGAAACAATAATAATAATAATAATAGAGAAGCGTTGGAAACCAGGGAGTACTAAGCAGCTGTTTCGTCCTAGCTTGGGACTCTTCATCAGTACGCACCTACGTTTCCACCAGGGATCGAACCCAGACCACTGGATTCCATCTTGGTGGCTGAACGGTCAACGAGCTTACTACTTGACATGAAGATCTGACTTGCGTAATACTGAACAGCATCATACTAAAAGGAAACAGCTGCCTAGTACTCCCTGGTTTTCAATGCTTCTCTAAGTGATATTAATCCATGATCAAATATGAAACAACTCTTGAAAATTAACAAGACATTATTTCGAGTGAATGCTGCGAGATTCTTCCAATCATGATGATTCGTGGAATAATTAACCAATTTCTTAAATTCAGGTAGACATATTTCTTAACGTTGAGTTTTGTGGAGCCAAAGAATTTTTAACTAACGCTCTAGTCAATATTTTTTATTGCACTTTTATTATTATTGGCTTAACTGTGCTTATTTTGATTGGATCGACGTATGTTGTAACAGGATTTTAAATACTTGAGTAGTGATAATCTCAGGCGCTGAACCTTGTATACATAAGATTAACTAACACTGCATTTCAAATGAACTGTCGTCAAGATTTGACAGAATAGTTCTAAAATATTTGGGCGCCGAGTGAGAAGTAGACATTTGTAAAAAATTATATTTGTAAAGTCTCAGCGAGATTGAAATGAGTAATTCCAACGTTTCGTTCGGCAATCTGGTCCGAACTTCTTCAGGGAAATTAATCGAAATTAACATAACATAGGTTTATATATAAAAAGGAAGATCACTTGTTTTTGAAAATTTGTCCAATCATGAGTCATTCAAAAAGTATCAACAAGCATAATAAAATAAAATTTTATGAGCTGTGACCAAAATTTGACCTCGGACTTACAAATATTGGTCTACCTTTGTTAAACACTTTAAACACAGTGTGTGTGTGTGTGTGTGTGTGTGTGTGTGTGGGTAAACAGTTGTAAAACATTTCTTAACGTCTCCATAAGAAGATATGGACAGTCGAGAATTTCGACTAAATATTAATAATTAGTGATAAATATCCATTTTTTATTTATTAATCAGGATTTCCTATGCATCAGCTAACATCACGCCTTCATGTCTGTTCAAACTGTTAGTATCTAGAATTTTATGGTTAGACGTATTTTCAAAATTATGGTGTTTAGGATTAGCGTTTAGTAGAAACACCCTGTCGGACTTATTGTTTTGCCTTCTTTCTGAAGATTGAGCTGCTTTATTCGACCTACTGGAGTTTTCAGGTGACTCGACAGCTACGGATTTAGGATATGCATTCTGTTGCAGACAACGGAGAGTGAACACACGATGATTGTGCCAATTAAACAGTTTCTTTGTTAATTTAATTCGATTGCAAAATAATTCAAATGATACTTTTCGAATGACTCATGATTGGACAAATTTTCAAAAACAAGTGATGTTCCTTTTTATATATAAACCTATGTTATGTTAATTTCGATTAATTTCCCTGAAGAAGTTCGGACCAGATTGCCGAACGAAACGTTGGAATTACTCATTTCAATCTCGCTGAGACTTTACAAATATAATTTTTTACAAATGTCTAACACTGGATTTCATTAAAAATAAAAACATGCTCTGATAGTATATATTCTGCTTATTGTTAGAGAAGTGATCACATAAAAATACTATTTAATTATTTTGGGTTTTTCAAAGACATTCCATTATAGGCATACTTTCTTGGATTGAATAATTTGTCAACTTCCCCAGTGTCACTTTCATCTGGCTTCAAGACTGCCATTAAACTTTAGTTTCCTCTTTAAATGACCTCTATCATATCACCCTCAGACACTTAAATAGTCGTTTCCAATTCGAGTTACACCTGACGGCCTGGCGCATGATGTCATTTCAATGTCTCCACAGCATATATATTCAATACATCTGCATTTCATTTTGCACATTTGTGATGTAATAGGTTGAAAAAATAATAACCAAAATGTTACTCTAGGATCAGCATCATGTTGACTTCGAGAAAATGAAAATTTATCCAAAAAAAATTAGAATACCTTATTGTGTATGCTCAATAAAATGAACGGTGAGTGAATGGCTCGGGGGAACAATGCTTGCTAATGACTCATATGGTCCAGGATTCCATTCCCAGTTGACGCACTCCTAAACCTCACTTGACCATCAGTAAGCCAAGTATAGATGGAAAGCTGGTTGTAAGGCTAGAAACCTCACCTGATAAAAGAAAGAAACACCATTGCTACTGAGACTTCAAACCTGAAGCTTAAAGTCCTATATATTCCACTAAGAAGGCAACACTCTCTACACGACCGATGGTGATTCCTAGACTGGAAGATGAATTACCTAGACTAGCCACTTCTAGTTGTGTCTACCAATTCAGCTGCGCTTTTGGAGCGAGTTATATCGGCTGTTGCTGTAGGAACTTAATTTTTCGTGCTCGCTTGAGAAAATCTCCAAGTATGGCTAAGTAAAGGTGTAGTAAAAACCATCAACAGTTCGATATTAGACCATCTGGTAGAGATCAGCCACAAACCCAGCATTGAAGAATCCTTCTCTATCATCTACCAAAACATCCAGGTACAGCATACTTCAAACACCAGAGACTGTCACGATTCGCGTAAAACAAACGGTGCCAATACTACTGCCCTGGTCTTCATTGGGGATCATAAATTCATGAATTTGTGTTATTATCCTTTCTAATTTTTCTGATATTCGGTTTATTGTTATGTTGATGCGATTGAACTGTGCGTCGGTGGCACAGTGGTTAGGACTCTCGCCGACCATGCACATGGTCTGAGGTTCGATCCCCTGCCGGCGCACACCCGATATCTATGGTCGGCCTGAATTTGGGTTATCGATATCCATGCTGAAAATTCCATACTTGTACTGAAAATACGGTGTGGAATCAAGCTGTAAATAAAAATAGAAAATTAGAAAAAATAGAAAATCATTATTGATTCGATGTTATTTAAACAGCAACATTAATGTTGTTCATAACACTAATTCATTAACTATAATGTATATATTACTAAAGAGGCTGATGATGAAGTTATCGGGAAGAATATTCTTTGTTCAGTAACAATTCTTTTGAGAATATAAAAAAAGAATCAATAAATAAGATAAGTAAACTAACCAGTATAAAGTAATGAACCATCTGCAGCTGTTGGACAAACACATGATGCCCGTGTAAAATCAGCTGAAGCAACACACTGACCACCATTTAAACATGTTAAACCCCATTGAATAACAATATCAGGATTTAAATGTTTATTTTCATTCTGATCCAGTTGTTTTATTACTTCACTGTCATTACTTACAGCTGTTTGTGTTAATAAATCTGTAAGTTGTATCGTTAAGCATGGATCATTTCGTCCAAGACAATTAGGCTCAGAGATATGCAATAATGGTTGATAGCCAGCCAAGCATTTACATGTATAATAATCTGTTCCAAGTATAGGTTGACAAATATTACCCAGCTGAATTTGACAGTTAGTATCACCATTAGGTTGAGACTATAGAAAGTAAATGAAAATCTGAAATTATTGATGATAATGATAATGGTGACTTTTTTGTTGATTACAGCTTGATTCCACACCGTATTTTTTATTACAGGTATGGAATTTTCAGCATGTGACATCGGTAGCCCAAATTTGCAGGCCGACCATAGATATCAGGTGTGCGTCGGCAGGGGATCGAACCTCGGACCATGTGCATGGTCGGCGAGAGTCCTTACCGCTGTACCACCGACGCACTTCATTTTGAACAAGATGTTTATATTACGGTACAGAATTTTTACAGTATGACGAATTTATCTACTGCTTATTTGGAATCTCCAAGTAAAACATTCATCAACAGTATGTCAGTAGACAGAATTCTCTCCCATCTGCAACCTGCTTTGACTCTTCACATATCTGTCCCTTGAAAACAGACTAAGCAGGGTATTGAAAGCCATTCAAAAATTCACGTGAGTGCAGATTGTTCTTCAAGAACCTGAATAAGTATAACTGAGCAAATGTAACGTAGAGTGTTCTGCAACCTCGCCTAGATTACTGGCTCACTAGGTTTTTAGCCGGTCTCAAGCCCGGATAAAGAGGGAGGGTTGGGGCGTGGTGCTAGCAATTCCACCTCCAAAACTTAACCAAACTGCTACAAAAACTTCAACGCACAAATATATTAAAAATTCTATTTATGTTTGATGTCACACAAAATCGAAGACTTACAAGCGAAAACCGACAAACTGGTCGAAGAAGCAGCCAGAGAAGACAGGACTCCACGTGAACATAGACAAGACGGAGGTTATGAAAATAACTAACCAACCACAACAACAACAGCAGCAACATCCAGCGCCAATCACTATCAACGAGAGGGATTTGAAAGAGGTGACTTCATTCACTTATCTAGGGAGGGAGCATTGTCTCAACTACAGCAGGAACGGACGAGGATATCGAACCGAGAATCGGGAAGGCGAGAAACACATTCATCAACCTGAAACCAATCTGGAAATCTTCGTCACTCAACTCAGCATCAACAACAAAATTCGGATTTTCAATACAAACGTCAAGTCGGTCAGTTCTTCTATACGGATGGATCAGAAACTTGGCCAGTGTGTCACAAAGAATATTTCCAACAGCCTGTTGCAGACCTTTATCAACAACAACTGTCTTCACTCTATTCTGAAGATCAGATGGCCGGAAAGAATCACCAACAAGAAACTATGGGAACAAACAAACAAAACAAGAACCAATCGCCCAACAAATATGCAGGAGAAAGTGAAGATGGATTGGACACTCGCTGAAGAGGCCGCTCGGTGACATCGCGCGTCAGGCCATAGCTCGAGTGGAACCCGAAAGGGAAGTGGCGAGTGGGACGTCCAAGGGTGGCGTGGAGGAGATCGTGTGAAGAGGAGTTGAAACAGTATGGATTAACATGGATGCAGGTGAAAAGTACAGCAGAAGACAGAAGCAAGTGGAGACGTGCAGTTGAAGTCCTATGTTCCACTAGGAACCCAAGGGAACAATAATACAATGATAATAATCCAAGTGGTTATGTGGATAATGCCTTGGCATATGAAGCGATGGGTACTCGGTCTGAGTCTCTGTGGGAAAACTATCACTTATTAAGGAGTGCAGCAAGCACACTCATCGCTTATTTAAAAATTATTTATCATTCTCGTTGCATGCAGCTAACAAAAATTTTATAAAATGAAATTAATCCATCTTATCCTATAAAATTTGTCATTATTATCTTGATAGAATTCAAGAATACAAGATAATCAGCGAAGAGACTCTTTTCAACAACGAATTTATTATCAAGCTGTACAATCGTATATATATGGTTTTACTTAGGAAATTATATCCGGTAAGGGAATTAGATCAAAGGGGTGAATAAATGAAACAATAATAGTATGAAATTCAATTAGAATATTCGTGATTATAATCGTAGTTAATTGTCAAGTAGCAAAACAATTAGTGTCAAATTGAGAATAATTTATAAGATGTATAGATGTTGGAAAGAGGTGTATAATTATAGGATTAGTAGGCTAATATAAAAAGCTACATAACATGGTGTGAAATTTGATAAGACGGAATTCAATATTGTAAGCAATTTTTAGATTTAGAATGACAAGTGGACAAGTGGAAACAATTCAGAGTGAAAATATTAATAATAATAATAATCGTAGCAATAAAAGAAAGGTACGTAGAATAACTAAATATACAAAATAAATAAATAAATAACTATCCCTCTACGGCCAAGGCAGAAGTAGGGATTGTACATACTTCTTTTGTACACAAAGGTCTGGCTGGCTAAAATTCATGAATGGCCAAGGCCATTAGGAATCGACCTGTTACCAGGGAATAGTCTTATGGACTTAGAATATGCAGATGACATAGTCCTGTTAGGGGAGGATGCTAACAAAATGCAGAGTCTTCTGAACACCTTGAGCAGCAATCTTCGTATGTTTGGCATGCGATTCGTCCCTGTGAAATGTAAGATGCTGCTACAGGACTGGACTACGTCAACTCCTAGCTTAGTGATAGGGAGTGAAGTGATAGAGCATGTTGACCACTTCACCTATTCGGGAAGTTGTATCAGCACCAACGGATTGATTGATGACGAAATCTCAGGAGGGATCCAAAAAGCTCGGGCTTTCGCTAACTTACACCATCTCTGGCTTAGGCGTGACATCCGACTATCAACCAAGGGACGTGTGTACTGCTCAGCAGTTCGCTACGTCCTTCTCTATGGCTCTGAAACATGGCCAATACGAGACGTGAAAAGGTTGACTGAGCATAAACTATTGCTCATAATCATATCAAGTAACTTGATATGATTATGAGCAAAGGTTGATTGTTTTTGATCATAGATGTCTACGATCTCTTTCTCACGTTAAGTGGTATAATAAGGTAAGCAATGTTGACGTTAGGCGGAGAGTGTTGGGCAAAGAGGGAAAATCAATCGAAGAGGCTATAAAGTTACATAGATTGAGATGGCCAGGTCACGTTCTGCGCATGCCTAACCATCGCCTCCCCCGACGGACAGGCAATACTAGCTGATATAGGTGCAGGTTGGAAAAGAGTAAGTGGTGGCCAAACAGAACCATGGCCTCATCAATCCATGAAATCCTTGACAGTTGAACTGAGTCAGTCAGGTAGGGAGGGAGATGCAGACTTCCGGGTTGGGGCCCGCCCTCGGGACTCTAAGAATCAATGGCTGGAGACAATAAGTGACATGGCTGAAAATCGTTGTCAATGGCTAGCGCAGATGTATTCAGTCTCTGTAATCTTTCATATTCCTTTCTACCATTGCTCATTCTGTTTCACTCTTATACTTGTCAAAACTCTATTGATTCTCTTCACTCATCATCTTGTCTACCTTTGTGTGCTATTTTGAACGTGGCAACTCGAACTGCTGCACTTCGGTGCCAAGTTCTATGTTGAATCCAGCCAGCCAGCCAGCCAAGGCCTCCGCTGTCTTTAGAAGTCTGTAACGTTGAAAACGCGGCGAGTTAGCTTGGATTCGGTAGATGATCTAAAAATCTTGTTCACAGTTGGTAGAGTGACAAGAGTCGATCAGTTGTTCTGGAATAGAGCTTTGCACACTTTTCCTTTCTCCCCTGTAGAACCATGCTTGAATATGTTATCGTATCCGTGTGGAAAGCGTTCTCTGGTGAACTGTTAGATGAAGATGAAGGCAACCAGACAGAGTAGCTTATTTTTTACGGAGCTTGAGAACAACTTGCAGATGGTGAACGTCATTTGTAATTTTGCTGCAAAGAGCATCTTACTGACTGATTTAGACAAACGATTTTCGAGCATATCTGAAGCTTGATTACCTTCGAATTCCAAGTTCATGAATAAGGCTTTGTTTGGAACTGAGTTGGTGACCAGTTTAGACTGCTTATCTTTCGTGTCACTGTCAATGAATCTTTTTGGGTAACCACTTTCTGTGAGCGTGGCTTATAGGAAGTCAAGTTATAAGTCAACGCAATCCGAATTATAAATGTTTTTGTATCCTAAAGCAGAGAGAATGAATTAGGTTCCCTTCCCTCACCTCTTAAAAAACGATTTGTATGTGATTGTACAGCTTTATTATAAATTCGTTGAAAAGTCTGTTTACTAAATATTGTATTCTGAATGCTATAATGGGAATTATTAAATTTATCGTATAAATAGGAAAGTAATTTAATGAGAAAAAACGAGGAAAAGAAGTTTAAAAAACAATGAAATATAAATTCACCTACTTTATCAACTCGTTCAAAACATGCATCTCGTGGTAATGAACAATCAACACCCATATATTCAGATTTACAGATACACTGATATGTTGAAATATCAAAGGCAATACATTGTAGTGTATTTTCAGGAATACATGCCTTATAAACTTTACTATCACATGGATTGACTGGTTGACATATGAGTAGATTTTCATCCCATAACATATCATCAAGACAGTTACATTTGTAATCATTCTATAAAAGAAAATTATTTAAGACGGTTTGAAAAAAAATGGCATTCATGTAAAAGAATATTGTTACAGGCCTCCAAAGCCTCAGGATGGTCGGGAGTGGGTGCCTTGCGCTGCGGGTTGGCCACCCCTCCGCACACCTCTTGAAATGCTCCCATATGACCGGGCGTCTTACATAGCCTCTCCCGAGGAAGTCCTACTCATCACTGCCTTTACGTGGCGGAGGTGTTTTTCACCAAAGTGAGAGGGCGAAAGCGGATGCCCGGCGCTCCTCACCGGGTTGACTGTCCATTGGATGACAGTCTAGGGGAGATGGCTAAACCCTGATTCCAAATCTCCAGCGACTGGCGTATGAAGCTCACTGGAGCTCACCGGCAGACGTATGGACAAAGGGCTTGTTGGATGTCCTGGATGTCTGGCCCCATTGAAAAAGGCGTATGAACCGAACCCCGGTCACCGGCTGCCAATGGATAGTGGACTCCCTACTCCACTCCTACTGCCTTGTAGGTCACACCTGGTTGTGTAAAGGCTAGAGCTGCACTCTCTAACAAAAGGCCGAGCGATTCTGGGGACATCACTCGTACCAAATTCCCATGAAAATTCATGAACCCTCTTACAAACGACTCTCACCATGCTACTACGTTCCCGGTAATCTTGGCGATGTCGCAGGGGTGGACAGCTGAAAACATGGCTTGGTACAGTCAAGGATGATATGGAGTGCCTGGGGCTACAAACCGTCTACGGACTCCGTCTGTGGAACAAGAATTGGATAACCCTGTCGCAAAACCTTGCATCAGATCGCCGCGCCTGGGCAGCGATGATTCGAGATGTTCATGAAGCCGGCTCATCCTCCCGTAGGAGATAGCCGAAGTAAAGTAAAAGTAAAAAAATATTGTTACAGTTGAAAAAGCTCCTGTATTTATCCAGCTTATGTTCAAAGAAGATGATGTATCACAGTGTATAAACAAGAGACTAAGAGTTGATTATCTTACAGCTAGTCTTGTTCCTGTTTACTACACTAATCGGTCTCTTTACCAATCGGATGTAGACAGGTATTCATCTGAAGTTACCTCCATCTCCGCTTACAAATGTACACGTGTATATTAGACTGACTAACTGACTGGTTTCAACATAGAACTTTGTACCGATGTGCAGCAGTTCAAGTCGCCACACTTCACTCAGCACATAAAGCCAGAGAAGGAAGTAAAAAGAAACGCAAAATAGAGACAGTAAACAGAGATATGAGGCGAAAAGAATAGTAATATCAAAGAAGAATGCAGTTTTATTGGGTATTATAAGTCACAATGTGTAGATGCATCTGCGCTAGCCATTGAGAACGATTTTGAGCCATATCACCAATTGTCTCCAATCATTGGTGTTTACCGTCCCGAAGACCTTCCTACGTGGCTGGCTTAAACTAACAGTTGTGGATTTCATAGATTGATGGGGCCATGTTTTGGTTTGACCACCACTGGGTCTTTTCCAACTTGATCCATCCTATGTCAGCTAACATTACCCGTCAGTCGAGGAAGGCGATGGGTAGGCACGCTTGTCTGACACATGTCCTAATCATCTGAGTTGATGTAGCTTCACAACATCGTCAATTGACTTCCCCTCTTTATCTAGCACTCGACGTCTAATCTCAATATTAGTCACCCTACTATACCACTTCACACGGGAGATAGAACGCAGACACCTATGATCAAAGACAGCTATTTGACATTTTCATGTCTTCCACTCTCAATGGCCACGTCTCGCTCACAGCTATAGAGGCGGACTGAGTGAACTGCTGAGAAGTAAACATGGCCTTTGGTCGACAGCCAGCCGTATATCACGTCTACGCAAGAGATGGCGTTACTTGTAACCGATTATGTCATCACATTTGACTCATTCCTCTTTCTTTAAACTACAATCTCGATGTTTTATTTCAGCTTAGTAGAATTAAAAAATATATGTTCCTTTGCATATTTTAGACTGACTTAAGTTGAAGGGAAGCTTCTAAATAGAAAAGGCGTACACTATACTGCAAATTTTATTCTCCTCGCTATAAAGCCCTTCAGTTCAAGACAAAGTGTAGTCATTAATGTGAAATGGTGAGGAGTTCAAGAATAAGACAAACATCTATATACTGCTCCTTGGTTTCTAATTGTTCCTTCAGAGTATATTTTTTTCGAAGAAATTTACCTTAAAAGTAATCAAATTAACACCAATCAGACGCGTTATTTTTTTAAGTATTCGTCCAGTCATGAGTGACTACCGAAAACGAAATCCACATGTCTTCTCACCAAGAATTCATTTATTAGATGCACTAAGCAATTAACATTCCACAAGTGAATGCGTTATTTTGCCTGGCCTAATCAGTCACAGTAGCTCCCTAGTGTATAACACATACTGGATTGTGCTAGTGAATTTAATAACTTCCTATCACTTTATTTCACTCAAAAAATATATCCGGATCTTCAACTCTGTCTGTCTGTCTGTTTTCAACATAGAACTTTGCACATGTGTGCGGCAGTTCAAGTCGCCACACTCCACTCCTTGTAGCACACAAAGCAAGAGAAGAAAGTAGGAGAAATGCATAATATAGACAGTAAACAGAGGTGTGAGACAAAGGAATAGTAATAACGAAGAACAAAACAGTTTCATTGGAAATCATAAGTCACAAGGAGTGGATGCATCTGCACTGTCATTGAGAACGATTTTGAGCCATGTCACCAATTGTTTCCAACCATTGGTTTTTACTGTCCCGAGGACCCCAACCAGGAAGTCTACACCTTCCTACGTGGCTTAGACTAACTGTTGTAGATTTCATTGACTGGTGCCATGTTTGGGTTTGACCGCCGCTAGCTCTTTTCCAGCCTGACCCTATATCAGCTAACATTGCCCGTCGAGGAAGGCGATGCCTAGGCTAGGCGTGAGTAACACATGTCCTAACCATCTCAGTCGGTGTAGCTTCACAGCCATGTTGATTGATTTCCCCTCCTTATATAGCACTCGACCGATGGCCTAACCTCAGTATTGCTCACCCTATTATACCACTTCACACGGGAGATAGAACGCAGACACCTGTGATCAAAGACAGCTAATCTTTTCATGTCTTCCACTCTCAATGGCCAGGTCTCACAACCATAAAGTAGGATGGATGTATGTTGTGTTTCGGAGACACGCATAAAAGACCCGAATGTGGTCATTCACTTGACCTCACCTGGTCAACAAGGTGAATCTGCGAAATTCACTTTAAGGGTGTCAGGAGACCCCTCAGCTAGCTCCAGCCAGTGTGGCTCGTTGGGTCATTGTGATATGCAAGCCCGACCACCACGTCAAGGTAGCAGCTATCGGTCGGGATCTTCAACTCTAGTGTTAAATCAATGCTTCTATATGCTTCAGAGAGTTATCGCATCACAAAATTCATTTCCAAGAGGCTGATGTTTAAAAATGTCTAAAGAATATCTGTCTATATCTATAATTTAGGCTGTTTTTATATAATTATTATATGCTCCCACCAATAAACTACCTGATGTGGTCAAAGGAGGATAGACTTTAGTTTTACTCTCGAAATGCTGCCATGTAGCCATGCATTCATAGCCTGTGTCAGGTGAGTGCTATTCGCTGGCTTAGCACGGCATGGGTGTTACTCCCCGAAATGTAAGGGCGATGGCGAACGTCTCGCGCAAACAACCGGAATGATGGATATTCAGATGTACCTAGCAGAGATGTCAAACCCCCAGTCCAAACATGTTGTGTATACGAGCTTCAGAATCCGAAAATATCGAATGGCGTATAAACCTGTTTTGGTCATTGTGAATCACGAGAACTCAGCCCATGACTTCGCTCCACCACCATGTGTATCAGACTGTAAGTCAATGTTACAGGGTGTGCTCTCTTAAGACAACCACCTGCTACGGTCTGAGCTCCTGGGCAGCATCCCAGTCGTCGTACAAACTATGGGACAAAAATTTATGTTGCGCATCTCTTGGTGTCTGTTATGTACTGTGTGTTTTTTAGAGATTTTAAGCTATACTAACAAATGTTACAAATACAAAATTGGACACGCGATACCACTACTTTTGTAGATGAAAGTATTTAAAAATTACATTATTATTAATAATCTGTTTATTCATTTACTTAGTGATTTTCTTAAAAAGTATTCTAGTTAACACGACTTTCATAGACCAATTTTGATGTAATAATGATTTGAACTAGAAGTTCAAAGAAACACTGAAATCATAGAATGGTTCGATTTCTGTCCTAGAAGTAGCGTTTCCTTTCTCTATAAACATCTCCTTTTTCTAAATGCATTAAGATATTCACATCTTAAATAATATTTCGCATTCCATGCCTTCTGAGGGGGAAAATAGACCTTCAAGCCATTAAGTTTTAGTAGCACTGATAGTGTTTGTACAGGGTAGGATTGTTAGTCTTGCACCCCACTTTCCCTCTTCTCCAAACTTACCACCAGCTGAGCGAGATTTGAGGTGTGTTAGCCAGGGAATAAAACCTGAACCTCCTGAGTCGGTCGGTCGGTTTTCGACATAGAACTTCGCACATATGTGCGGAAGTTCAAGTCGTCACACTCCATTCAGCACACAAAGCAAGAGAAGAAAGTAGAAGAAATGCATAATATAGACAGTAAACAGAGGTGTGAGACAAAGGAATAGTAATAATGAAGAACAAAACAGTTCCATTGGGAATCATAAGTTACAAGGAGTGGATGCATCTGCGCCACTGAGAATGATTTTGAGCCATGTCACCAATTGTTTCCAACCATTGGTTTTTACCGTCCCAACCAGTCAGGGAGTCTACACCTTCCTACGTGGCTTAGACTAACTGTTGTGGATTTCATTGACTGATGATGCCATGTTTTGGTTTGACCACCATGCTAGCTCTTTTCCAGCTTTACCCTATATCAGCTAACATTGCCTGTCGAGGAAGGCGATAATTAGGCATACGAAGCACATGTCCTAACCATCTCAGTCGATGTAATTTCACAGTCTCGTCGACTGATTTCCCCTCCTTACCTAGCACTCGACCGATGCCTAACCTCAATATTGCTCACCTTATTATATCACTTCACACGGGAGATAGAACGCAGACACCTATGATCGAAGACAGCTAATCTTTTCATGTCTTCCACTCTCAATGGCCAGGTCTCACTCACAGCCATAAAGGAGGACGGAGCGGACTGTTGAGCAGTACACACGCCCTTTGGTCGACAGCCAGCTGCATATCACGTCTACGCCAGAGATGGCGTAAACTGGCATATGCGAAACTAGCCCTGTGTATTCGTGCTGAGATTTCGTCAGCGATCAACCCGTTGGCACTGGCAGATGGTACTTCCCAAGTAAGTGAAGTGGTCTACGTGCTCTACCACTTCACTTCCTATTTCTAATCTAGGGGTCGGTGTAGTCCAATCCTGCAGAATCATCTTGCATTTTACAGGGGCGAATCGCATGCCAAACATACGAAGATTGTTGTTCAAGGTGTTCAGTAGACTCTGCATTTTGTCAGCGTCCTCGCCTAGAAGGACTATATCGTCCGCGTATTCTAAGTCAACGAGATTATTCCCTGGTAGCAAGTCCATCCCTGAGTCGTTGAAGAGTGTTAGGGTAGCTGGTAAGCATCCTACCGTAATGCAACCAATAATGGTCCAACTGGCATTAGAATGAATTTATAATACTTCATTTTCAATATATTTTTTTCGAGAGTTGATTTGTAAGGATTTGATTTATTTCTCGAGTAAGACCACGGATTGATATCAGTTAGAATCCATTGAAAACCAGCACTAGAGTACTGGACAGCTGATTTTTCTGTCCTAGTCTGGGACTCATCGACAGTACGCACCCACCACCAGGTTTCAAACCTAGGACCTTCCGGTTACAAGGTAAGCTGGCTCGTATACCATTTAGCCACTAGGACCCAATTCAATGGCCCAGTTATTATTTAGCGCGACCACCAACCAATGTCGTCGGCGGGAAATCCATCCTCACTCCCGACTGGGTGCACCTCACTGGTCACGAGTTCTCACTGGCACTCCAGGAAACGCCGTCCTATCCAGCATCATATTAATTTTCAAGAGGTGATTTGTAAGCATTAGATTCCTTTCTTAAGTTAGACCCCGTATTAATATCATATATATATATATATATATATATATATATATGATATTTTAAATGTATCCTTAAAGTAACTAATAATAATATAATGCATACCTCAAAAGTTCCAGTTATTGTGCACAAATTATCTTTTACACCTTTAACTGTTCGACATGGATTTCCAAAACACGGATCTGGACAACCTTGGATTATATCATTTAAAAGTAGCTGTTGTGCTGTTTCATTTACACGTTTAAAATATTTCCATGCCTGAATAAAAGGTAATAATAATAATAAGGTCCTTTAATGAAAATAAGCAATAATTTACTCTCAACTTTATCGTTTATTTAATTATATAGTCATTCTAAAGTATGATTTAGTCATATTAAAGGATAAGTACAGGATACAAATAAGAAAATTATGTAAATGGAATAACTAAATAAAAACTAATAAATTTTCGTTTTATTACTTTACGTTCTCAGTGTAACATAGGGCTTCAAGCTACAGGCTTGAAGTTTCGGTAGTAGTGGTATTTATTTTTACGCAATGTAACTGCTAGCCTGATGCCCACCCAACCTTCCATCTCTACCAGTTTTGTTACTTGCTTAGCGGGGTAAAGGGGTGCGTCGGCCAGGGATCGAACCCTGAACCACTTACGTGGTTGGCGAGCATTCTACCGGTGTGCCACTGAGGCACTCATCAACCAAATGAGTAGAGCCAGAGAAGAAGATCTAATTGAAAAGTAAATATTTCTTCGCTCATCTTTGTGTTATGGATATTTTCTATATACAAATCTGCATACACCAATCATATAATTTCATGTTACCCTTCAAAAATTGTCGGAGACTCCGAGTATATCCATTCAATAACAACTAATGCCTTATGCATGACAAGAGACACTCATTGATCAGTGGCCTTGGTATTTGAAATGATGGGTATTGTCGATGGAGGTACATCCTGCTAACGAGTTCCAAAAAAGAAGAAATGAGCCCCCTGGATCTAACAGCTGTCTATTATCAACCAAATAGCACGATGTTAAAGTTCAAACACCATCTTTAGATGCGAACGTGTCAATAGAGACCGAATGTTTTGTTGAAATAATAATCAGTCGACGAGAAGTACAAAATCAGTCATTTTAACTATCACAGTGATTCTGTAACAACAGATCGTTTATTGAGGAAAATCAACACATATTTATAGATTTTAATGTACATTATTGTAGATTATTGTTAGTAGAAAATACAGTCTTTTGATTGATTGTTTCTCACAGAAAGTTAACCTTGCATCTCTTTGTGGCTGTGTCAGATCATCCATATGCTGACTTTATCCGCCTACGCAAAGCCTTTGTTCTCATTTTCTCACCACCAATATTGGGGACATAAACATTGACGTCAATTACTGTCTACCAACTTTGGCTAGCAGCCAGCTCTCAGCACAATTCCACATCATATTTCTTAACTAATCAGTTAGTGGATACGTACTACCATTGTTATTATCTTTGTTACTTTTTGATTATTCTATTCATTTATGTTCCGAGTGGAACATAAGGCTTGCAGGTAGAGCTTTGAAATTTCAGTAGCAGTAATTTTATTCTTATGTGAAGACTCTAACTGTTGATTTGACCCATCTATTTAGGTGTAGACTGTCTAAATTGAGTCATCAAAACACTAAGTACCAATAACTGGAGACTTTTAGTGACATGGCCTGCACTATGCTCAGAAAACCCCCAACAGAAGCATTTTTTTCTGTCCTTCTCATATATACCTGCTACTGTAAGTGATATCATTCCAACAGTGACGTATGTTATTTTCATTATTATATAACCGTAACAATTTCAGGTAGACTGTAGCTGATGAGAACCTGAGAAATAAGATAACGTCATTTCTTACTGCAAAAATTCGTCTTTCTGGCTTTATGCAATAAATCTATAGATATTGTCTACTGTCTATTTTTTGGAAGGGCTTAATTTCAGAGTAGATTTCATCATGAAATATAAATCAGCTACAGAGTCACTGATGTACCAGTGGTGATCAAATATTGATAGGCTGTATGACAGAAGTGAAGATAATCAATTCTGAGAGTAAAAAATATTGAAATTCAGTCGGTTATTCGGCGTTTAGTGTCTCATTCGCTATAGCACCGATCAATTCGTAATACACTGCAATCAGTGATTCATATCTCTAAAACTTAAATTAAACTCATTTCATTTTGAAGTGATTTGGTGGATGGTGACTATCAATGGAATACAGGATAACTCGCATTCCTTCCTATTTGAGACTCATCAGCTGGATGTACCCGCATTCCTCAGTGAGTGATTATGTTCCCACGGAGGCTCGAACCCAGTGCCCATAGTTTCCAACGCCAAAGCGTTATCCACTAGACCACTTGGACCAGGTGAGCCACTTTTTGTGCAATTAAATCAACGGGAAAGTCCGAAATGAATTAAACTCATTTTTTATTGTTTAAAATATCTGACTGAAGCATATGAAAAGTTATCTTCAAGTTAGTATACAGTAGGCCGCTTCACTTACTGTCGGCATGGATGAGGATGTTAAAGCTAGCTAGAATAGTAAAAACAAGACAAACATTCATTATGCTGAAATCAGTGTAGAAATCTGCCGCATAGCAAACGACATTCGTGTTCTCAACCCTAGTGTCAAATCAGTATTTCTATATATGCTTGAGAGACGTGGCTGGCGCTTCACAGAAAGCACTTCCAATAGGCTACTACACGCACACTCTCTTTAACAACTGCCTTCTCTCCATTATTGAAGATCAGAGATGATCACAAATAATAAGCAAGAGTGGTAACAGTCAACTCTGGCAACTAATCAACCAAGAATGTATTGCCCAATAAGTATGCAAAAGGAAATGGATACGGACTAAAGTGACATTACACTGGCAATTAGGCCATCAGGTGGAACTTGAATGGCCAAAAACGCGTGAGATGTCGGTTGACAGGAGGAAACCGAAGTTACAGCCAGCTAGGAATAGATTAAAGACGAAAAAGTGAAGTGCAGATTTGTTGCTGTTGCCCTATGTTCCACTTTGGAACTCAAGGGAATAATAAAGTAATAATAATTATAAATAGGTTTATGAACAAATAGAAATAAATAAAATAAAAAATGGAATTTCCCTTGCAGTTGGGAATGAACAACACCTATTGTGTATGACGTCTAATGATAATATCTGGCTACCCAAACTTTTTGTAGGTGAAACAGGATACGCATCCATAACCAACTGGTCAGAAGTTCAGCAGTTAAGCCGATGAGCAACAGCTCAAATGAATTAAGATCTTGACAAATGATTACAATTCTGTAAATGGATAAAATTTTATCTTCTTTTCTCAAATTTCATGAATTACATCTGTTGTATGTTACAACTGTCATCTGAAGTCACCGAAAAATGAATAACTAATAAAAATGATACTCATAAAGAGTGTAAATTCACTTTTCTTTTAAAGTTAACTAACTTTTGTACACCAAAGATAAGCAAATGTTAAACTAATATCTATTTCTGGATCCTCCATCATTGTTTGAATTGCTTTAGCATTTGATGGTATTGTCGAACAACTAGGATGATTAGCTTGATCACAACATTCCCAACGTTTTGAATCATCTTTAGTACAAAAATCTGCATGGATTTTATCTCTAAATTCTTTGAATGAAGGTTCTATGCTAGAATTTTTATCCAGTATAATATTTTCATATTTTGACCAAAATGAAGTTCCTGTAAAAAAGGGAATAAAAATGGTAATAATAATAATAACAATAGTAGGAATAATAGTCTATTCATAGTATCAAGGTGTGTGTCTTTGGCACAGTGGTAGAATGCTTACCAAACACACAAGTGGTCCGAGGGCCGATCCTCAGCCGACGCAACCCTTTTACCTCACTAAGCCAGTAATAAAAATGGTAAAGAGGATAGGATGGGTAGGCATGAGGTTATCAATCCCATTCCATAAAACTAAACACCACTGCTACCGAAACTTCAAGCCTGTAGCCTGAAGCCTTATGTTCCACCGGGAAAGTACAGGAACTAAATTAAAAAAATAGTATCAAGGTAAACAATACAATGAATGATATAGGGAAAAGGAGTGTCGATAAAAGTAATAACGTTCAGTGAAGAGTTACTCATTTTTGCGATATCCTTCTCAAGCTGTACAATCGCATATATATATATATTTTCTATAGTTTGGTTTGTAAGGATTAGTTATGTTTTACGAGTTGATCACGGACTGATATCAGTTGATATCAGTTAGAGAACCATTGAAAACCAGGGAGTACTGGACAGCTGCTGTTTCGTACTAGTATGGGAATCATCGGCAGTACGCACCCACTGGGGTTAGAACCCAGGACCTTCCGGTTACAAGGCAAGCTCGTATACCATTCAGCCACTGGGACCCGATTCAATGGCTCATGAATTCTAACTTCTACCAATTCGTGATTTAGCGCGACCACAACTATTGTCGTTGGTGGGACATCCATCCACACACGTGACTTCTAATTGGACCTCACTGGTCACGATTTCTCACTAGAACTCCAGGAAGCTCCAACCTGTAGCAAGTCACTAGCGAGCATCAGAATAATTTTCTGTAGTTTGGTTTGTAAGGATTATATATATATATGGTGAAAGCTGGCTGCTAGCCAATGTTGGTAGACAGTAATTGACGTCAGTGTCTACGTCCCCGATATTGGTGGTGATAAAATGAGAACAAAGGCTTTGCGTAGGCGGATACAGTTAGCATATGGATGATCTGACACAGCCACAAAGAGATGCAAGATTAACTTTCTGTGAGAAACAACCAATCAAAAGACTGTATTTTCTACTGACAATAATCTACAATAATCTACATTAAAATCTATAAATATGTGTTCATTTTCCTTAATAAACGATCTGTTGCCTGGCCCTTGTCTTCTGTTGTTACATATATTCTCAGAGATGTGTCGATTGACTTGTAAATTTTAGATAAGCACTCAGGACTTTTTCAACAGCTACCATACTGCAATTCAGTTCACATTAGAGCAGTTCAACACAAAATATATCTTTTCTTGACGTCAAAAGAACAAGATATGAACAATATGGGACACGAAAAAGATTCATCTAGAGAAACCTGATATGAAACGAACAATTTACTAACTTTCATAGTTGGGTGCCTCTAAGCATAAAACGAAACTTGATCCGTTCACTGAACCATAGAATCCTCAACATTTGTAGCAGTAAAATTATGGAAGAAGAGTTGAATACTATGGAAAATGGCTACCCAGAGTGTTTCATCACTAGAATCATCCATTCATTCTGCCTCCAAAAAAACTTCTCTGCTTGAATCTATAATTCAATAAAGACTCATTGATGAAAATACTGAGAAACCACTTGTTCTGTTCGCTGTAGAAAACCTTCTTCGCGGTTGAACTTCGAATAACTTTCTCTACAAAACCAATGATTCTCATGAATTTAAAAGAAAAGCTGCCATTACTAGCCTAGTCAATGTGTATCAACTAATTCACCTGCTCGTGAGGAGATAGGTGCGTCAGCCGCAACCAACATTTGTCATCCAAACGTATATTCATGTTTTTATGAAGGAGAAAAATGTTCCTCTCGCCACAGCTCAATCCTGAAACACCTGATCGAATCTAGACACCAGTCTAACCTACAAAGGAATTTCAAAGTCATCTACAAAATGCATGGGAATCTCGTTCAGAGAGTACAAATCAAACTTCTTCAAACCGCAGAAGCAATGCGATTCACATGTTAAATCCTGAACTCTGCATACAAAAAAAGTTTTTTCAGTCATCAAATCTACAATGGACCTGATCTACCTTAACACCAAGTACGTAATTTTTGATTTTTGTTTCTGGATTGTATTGTTTTCTTCCCTCACCCGCTATTGAATTTCTATCCCTTATTATCATTGTTGTTTACTTGACTCTCTTCTAATTTTGATTGAATTCTACTCAACTGCTTCAGTTGTATTACTTCACGCAATTTACTTACGTGATTTGATTTTAATTCCTACCTGACTAATGCTTTTTAACAACAATCAGCATAAATGTGAGGAACTTGAAAGAAACAACCTCTTTCACCTACCGACCTAGGAATCATCGTTTCAACTACAGGCAGGTGGAACTGACGAGGATATCAAAGCAAGAATCGGAAAAGCAAGACAAGCTTTCACTACTCTCAAGTCTGTGTGGAGGTCAACAGCACTACTCAGCATCAAAAATAAGATCAGGATTTTCAACTCCAATGTGAAGTCAGTGCTACTTACCATACGGATCAGAGACTTGCACTTCGCGTCATAAAGAGCATCTCAAACAAACTACAGACCTTCATTAACAGTTGTCTTCGCTCAATACTATTCAAGATCAGATGGCCAGCCAGAAGAGATCAGGGACAGAGATCTCTGGCAATGAGCGAACCAACTCAGCAGGGACCGATTGTGAAACAAATATGCAGGAAGAAATGGAGATGGATTGGTCATACTCTGAGGAAACCATCAAGTGACATCACTAGACAAACCATTGCTCGAGTGGAACCCGGCCGAAAGGGAAGCGGCGAGTTGGTCGTCAGTGCAAGAGTGGGTGACTTGGAGGAGGTCATGTGAAGAGGAGATGAAAACGTGTGGGGGGGAGACTTGGAGCCAGGTGAAGACTTTAGCAGAGAACCGAACGCAATGGAGACGCACGGCTGAAGCCCTATGTTCCTCTAGGAATTAAAGGAAACAATAATAATAATGCTTTTTGCATTACATAATTAGTCATCGAGAGATTACAACTCTAATGACACACAAATTTGAAAACATTCCTTTTGTTGCTAAGAGAAAAATCCCCATCCAGCTATTAATGAAAACAAAACACATAGTTCAGTGAAGAGTACCTTTACCGACTGTACAGCTTGAGAATGATATCACTGAACGCCTTCTTTGACTCGATGGGTATTTTTTAAAATAAAAATATAGAAAATTGCAAATATTAAAGAATTCCTTTTTTTTACAAACTACTTGGTGCATTTTCCACCATTCTAGGTCACTAAAAAATATGAACACTTTATACAAAAAAATTTATTCACAGTCATCTCGATCTCATGCATTTATAGTTTGATGATAAAACGCCTATAAACTGCACAACAGATTCATATTGAATTCTTGGTTGAAGTACTCATAAGTCTCGTCAAGGCGGTGCCAAGTTTAGAAAACAAAAAGGAAGGAATGTGCGTGAGGTTAACATAACTTCATCAAATTCTGAAACTTCAAAACCTTGAATCTATGTGTTCCCGTCAGAATTCATCGAATGTAAAGAAAAGTGTTTACTATAGACAGTTAGGTTATTGAATGTGTTTTGGGGAAATGAAAGATCTTAAAATGTAAAATGACATTATCAATTTTTCTCTTTGTATAGGGTCTTTCTGTAACTGGCTACAATGCTAAGCATAGTTCATGTCTTACTTTTTTACTTCTGTATGCTTTTGATTGTGATTAAAAATTTATTCTATTTATTTATTGTTCCCTTGGGTTCCTAGTGGAACATAGGACTTCAACTGCACGTCTCCACTTGCTTCTCTCTTCTGCTGTATTATTCACTTACATCCATGTTAGTCCATACTGTTTCAGCTCCTCTTCACACGATCTCCTCCATGTCACCCTCGGATGTCCCACTCGCCACTTCCCTTTCGGGTTCCACTCGAAAGCTGACGCGCATGTCACCCAGCGGCCTCCTCAGCGAGTGTCCAATCCATTTCCACTTTCTCCTGCATATTTGTTGGGCGATTGGTTCTTGTTTTGTTTGTTCACATAGTTTCTTGTTGGTGATTCTTTCCACCCATCTGATCTTCAGTATGGAGCGAAGACAATTGTTGTTGATAAAGGTCTGTACCCTGTTGTAAATATTCTTTGTGACCCGCCGCCAAGTTTCTGATCCGTATAGAAGAATTTACTTGACATTTGTATTGAAAATCCGAATTTTGTTGTTGATGCAGGCTGAGTGTTGAAGATTTCCAGATTGGTTTCAGGTTGATGAATGCGTTTCTCGCCTTCCCGATTCTCGATTTGACATCCTTGTCGGTTCCTCCTGTAGTTGAGACAATGCCCCCTAGATAAGTGAATGAAGTGACCTCTTTCAAATCCCTCCCGTTGATGGTGATTGGCGCTGGATGTTGCTGATGCTGTTGTTGTTGTTGTTGTTGGTTGGTTATTTTCATAACCTCCGTCTTGTCTATGTTCACCTGGAGTCCTGTCTTCACTGGCTGCTTCTTCGACCAGTTTGTCGGTTTTCGCTTGTAAGTCTTCGATTTTGTGTGACATCAAACATAAATCATCCACGCGCGAAATCCAGGTCTTCTAGGTTCTTCACGTCGGTCCAGGATATCCCTGTCTCCTCGTTTCCCACTCTCTGACTCATAATCCAGTCCACTACAATTAGGAATATCATTGGTGATAATAAGCACCTTTGTCTGACTCCAATGTTTACTGCAAACGCCTCGCTGAGTTTTCCGTTGTGGACCACTTGACATGTGCCGTTGTCGTACAGGTGTTGTATAAGGTTGATGAATATTTGGGGTACGCCGTAGTATTCGAGTAGTTTCCAAATTACTTCTCGGTCTTTTGGAATTCTAAAGCCACCAACTGTTAGCTTTGCATTTTATATACCTTAAAAAGAATATTAAGATGGCGTTATTAGAAGTCGGGGTTTGTCAGAAAACTGTGATGTGTTTGCACAATGCATTTCGAACAATCTGATCACATATTTGCTTGTCAAATCACATTATATGAAAAAATGAAATACCAAATGAAATAAATAAAGTGATTAGGGATTTAATAATATGAAGGGAAATAATTCCAACTGCTTTTAGTAATGCAATCAGGTAAAAATTTCATCGAGTTAGTTTTTGTACACACAGCAAGGTGAGCTGGGGGCTTTATATAAGTGTTTCACTATAAAGGAAGTTGGTAGTCTGCCATTTGGGATTATTGAAGTTTCACAGAATCTGAATAAAGCAAGGACAAAAGTGGTTTGTGCAGAATAATATGGTACCATCATTTATTTCGTAGGCTTCTCATCATCTGTTTACAGCCTAAATAAAATATGAGGTTTGCCTACAGAAAAGTTTTAACATACTTGCAAATTTTTACATGTTGCCAGTTGACAAAAAGTTCCACAGTAAGTGAACAATGCTCAGAAAATTGCGCTTATATAGTTTTTACACAGGCAGTTCAAGTTTAAACAAAATAGATGTATGCATACAATGGTAAAAGAGTTACGTAATAAGGACGAAATATGAGTTAGATACAGAGTGACTAATAAATTAGATAACAATGTACTGAATTCAACTCAAATCATAGAAACAAGAGACAAGCAAAATTGCAGAATATAAAAGGGGGTGGGGTTAAAGACAAAGATTATGTAACCAGATGAGAGAATAAAGACATTCAGTTACCAGGGCAAAGAAAGATTAATAACTGCTTCTTTCTGAACACATAAATCTGGTTTCAAGCGTTTGATAGAGATTGCTTCGGCAAACTTGAGGAGAATGGAACTCCTTTGTCTATTAATAATTTTAAAGGACTTCTCGATTTCTACCTCATGACCCGTGTCGAGAAGATGTCTAGTGATAGCGCTGCTATAAGAGTTTGTTCCCTTGAGACGTAGGCTTTTTGGCACATGTTCAGAAAATCGGAGGTGTGCCCTTCTTTCTGTTCTCCCAATGTAACTGCTTTATTCAAATTCATCAAGGGGAATAAATGCATGAAGTTTCACAGAATCATTTATTCTCTAAGGCATTTGGGCATATGGTCTCCCACCATCGATTACTCTTCCTCATGTGTGTGTGTGTGTGTGGCCAATACAAATGTACCACACACACACACTTTCCTGCTGATACCTGTTGCAACTATGGTGGCTGTTGTGCCCCAAGTGGTCTAGTGGATAACGCTTTGGAGTTTGAAACTATGGTTACTGAATTCGAGTCTCATTGGGGACACCATCACTCACTGGGGAGTAGAGGTACATCAAGATGACGAGCCTCAAATAGGACTAACCGCTTATCCTAGACTCCACTGCTAGTCAACATCCACTAAACTACTTCAGACTGTACTGTACTTAATAAACTATACCTAGTGAATCAATAATACCTTTTCATAAGATTAATGTACTCCTATATATATATATATATATATATATATATATATATGAGCAGATAAATTAAATAGGACCTCTTCCAAGGAACTTTACTGAACACAAAGCGTAAAAATGTCATTAATAGAGTATCAGGCAAAACCGGAATATAATTTGCCTACAGTGTAACAGTTACTAAATTTTTTGTGAACATGGTCTCAAAATTCCTTCACATTTATGAATACTAAACAGGCATAGTGTTTCACACCTTTTTAACTCTCTAGTGGTGGTAATAATATCTTCCATATCTCTGGTATTTGCATTGAGTCAATTCTGTTGCATGTGTTGGATGTAGACTCAATGAACCAGGAAGGATTCAGTAATCAACCTCTCTCTCCACCTACATAGATTACTTCTTAAAATCTTAACCCTCTCCCAACCTATTGTGTGTCAATGCATGCAGTGGAATCGCTGAGCTCTTTTCTAAATTACTTATGTTCTCGGGGCCAGAAAAGATCAGCAACAGGGATCTCTGGCAATGAGCCAATCAACCAGGAACCGATTGTGGAACAAATAAGCAGGAAGAAATGGAGATAGGTGGATTGGAGGCCGTACTCTGAGGAAACCATCAAGTGACATCACTAGACAAGCCATTGCTCGAGTGGAACCCGGCCGAAAGGGAAGCGGCGAGTTGGTCGTCAGTGCAAGAGTGGGTGACTTGGAGGAGGTCATGTGAAGAGGAGATGAAAACTTGTGGGCAGACGTGGAGCCAGGTGATGAAAACGTTAGCAGAGAACCGAACGCAATGTAGACGCACGGCTGAAGCCCTGTGTTCCTCTAGGAATTAAAGGAAACAATAATAATAATAATGATATTGCGCTATTCAAGTTGATTTGACCAAGAACTTATCCACTAAATTTAATAAGGAAAAGCAAGTGAGATGAGCTACTTAGTTTAAGTTATTCTCTACTTTTCATTGGATGGTTATATTAGACACAAATGGTTGGTGTCTGTCTCCTGACAGAGATGTTGGCTACTAGTGCGGACTCTCCAGTAGCGTCCAAGGTTTGACATGATGTTATCTGGTGGACGCAGACTAACAGTGGAGTCGTGGATGAGCATTTCATCCTATTTAGGACACGTCAGTCCGATGTATCTGTAGTTCCCAGTGAATGATAGTATTTAAGTTTCATTGGGGACACCATCGCTCACTGATAATTGCAAGTACATCCAGATGACAAGAGCCAGATAGGGCAAAACGCGCATTCTTGTCTCTACCATCCACCAAAGGAGTTTCTAGTCCATAGATTCAAGGACAACAAGATGTTGCATATATAATTCAGGTAGAGAAATAATAATAATTGAACGTAAAAGGGAATATAAGATTTTTAAAAATACTTAAAATCTAGAAAAAGATTTTAAATAAACAGAAAATGTACATTAAACTATGCATGGTAATAACACATCTATTTCATTAGAGGAGGAAAGATAGTCAACTACTACTCTGACTATGAATGTATTAAGAAAATAAGAATTCGAAATAAATTTTGAAGTGAGACGAATAACGTAAAATAATCACTTTCATAATACTTGATCAGCAATAAACCTTCAGTAAATATTTGCAAATTAGATACTAATTTCAAGTATCTCAAAATATGAAGTTGATTTCTTTAGAATGTGAATGTTTAAATCAAATCAATTTAAAATAGCTACTCTACTTGAAAACTTCAGTTGGTTAATTTACTGAAGTCAACATGCCTTTTCGTACATTGAATTTAGATAAGTGAAAATTACTGAATAAAAAATTTAATTCATAATGGAGTTGAAGTACTAAATAGTTGATTAGGAATTATCCTTTGCCTAGTTTCATCGTGAATTAGCTTCATTTGGAGGACCATTGAGAATCAGGG